TTCTCAGCGCTGGGTTCCCCTTACACAAGGAGCGGCCGCTCCCCTGCTGATCAGCTTATGTGCTTCTCTCCTAGATGCCTTAGGGCCACGTGAGCTGCCCCAGCGGACTCATTCCTGATGGCCAACCACTGCCAAGCAACTCGCATGTAATTGGCGGGCTCCCACTGACACTCCTGGGAATCCACTCCGCCAGCCCCCGCCTGGCGTCCTTCTCAGCAGCCCACCCAAGCCATGGAGGCCCCGGAGGTCCCTGTGGGCTCGCTGATTGACTTCGAAACCGAGCCATCCGCCTCCTCGCCCCTGGAGGGGCTGCCGCCAAAGCTGCAGGATGGGGACAGCTCCCAGGGTGACGGTGCATCGGAGAGTGAGACCACAGAGTCGGCGGACAGCGAGAACGACATGGGCGAGTCGCCCTCACACCCGTCCTGGGACCAGTACCGCCGTTCCTCCTCCAACGAGTCCTTCTCTTCCAACCAGAGCACCGAGTCAGCCAAGGATGAGGAGGCCCTGGAGCTCAGGGGGTTCATGCGCAGCTACGTGGAGAAGATCTTCTCCGGAGGGTAAGCCCCCGGGGCCTCTCTGCTCTCTCGGCTCTGGCCCTGAGCGGGGTGTCACCTGAGGCCAGGGCTCCCAGTCCCTCACCAGCCTGTGATGGGCCTCCGTGGTGGTTTGCAACCCCAGCCCGGGCTACAGATAGGACCAGTTGGAGAATTTCACCCCTTCTCCCCTCCCACCCACTGCTTTGACCACTCCACTGGCAGCCTCACCTCATCATGGCTGAATCCCAGAGGATGCCTGTTTTGCTTTCCCAGTATCTGAGCACTTCCAGGGTAGCTCCCTGTTGGCATTCCACATCAGAGCCGTACTTGGCTAGAGGGCCGCCATTATTATCTGAGATTAAGTTTAGGGGCCATCTAAGTAAGACAAACGTGTTTCAGTGACCCGCGCTCCTTGTGATGCTCATGGGCAGCTGAGCCTTAAGCCGCTGCTCAAATGGGGAGCCTTGCTCTCACCTCTTCTTGTTTGTTCTGTTGTGGTTCTTGAAAGGGCGAGTAAGGAGCACTGGCATTGGGAGCAGCAGGAAGAGGAAGTGGGGGTTGGAACGCAGACGAGACACAGGGCGGAGAATCTGTGGATAGGCTTCCAGCTCTCTTGCCCTCGTGTTAATATCTCAACCAGAGGCGAGGGGAGGCAAACAAACCGAAATTTATGGGCGTCAGTTGGGATGGGCGGTCTTGCATCATTCACAGAACACACTCAGGGTTCAGGGGACCCAAAGCATCAGCATCAGGGGGCGCTTGTTAGACATGCGGAGTCTCGAGGCCCCTCGCAGCCCCACTGCGTCTGAATCTGCCTTTTAACAAGGTCCCTAGACTGTTCACACACCCATTGCAATCTGAGGAGCTCTGGACGAAGGGGAAGTTTTCCAGTTTCATGAAAGCTATACGAATTTCTGCCTGTTGGCACTCTGCGGAGTACATTATTTTCCATCATAATTTAGGGCCCTCGTTTGAAAACGGGCAAGGTTGGTGTCTGTCTTTTTCAGGTGTGCCTCAATTTTCTATGAAGTTAAAAAAGGGAGAAACAAATTCAATGATAATCCAAGTATTCGACTATCCAAAAATGCGTTTATGTTTGATTTTGAATGCCGTTTAGGAGAGCAGTAGCTGTGACTTCCTACTTGTTTGGTTTAACACAGAAATTAGCCAGTTTTCTCTGAGCACATCCAGTTAATGTAAAAGGGGAGAGAGCCCAGAAGCTTGCTAGTTTGCCAGGAAGGCCGGTCTATATTTGCAGCAGCCTGCCAGCAGTATGGAACGTGAACATCTAAGTTTTCAAGAGCACTCCAAAAATCACTGCAAATGGCTGGCAAATCCTCATGTTTCCTCTGATGTTGGTATTTAGGGATAAATGAGTCCAAGATGTTTTCTACAGAACCTTAAATAAATGAATAATTGCATAAGCCAATTGATCTTCAGCCCCTGCTTCATTTTTGTTGCCATTAAATTTGGGGTAGAGTAGCAGCCCTCCACACCAAGAGTGATCAAAAATGGCTTGAGTGGACATAGTGACCCCCTGGGGTCCCTTGGTCTCCACCCCTCACTCATAGAGCAGGACTGAGGTGAGCAGATGGGCTTTTCACAAGCTCAGAGGAATAAGCAGCCACTTTCTCCTTCCGATTGGTGGGAGGTGGCCTCAGACCCACGTGTCCTGCTGAGACTGAGCACATTAGGAATTCTTGAATTCAGTGGGAGGATCCATGCAGACTTCGGAACCGAAGATTAGTGGGAGTCAGGTGAGCTGGAGAACCAAGACCTCAGAGGGTCAGGGTCGGGTTTTGTCACCCTGGTCAGTGCCCCGACTTCACTGGAGGTGGGAGGACAAGGGGGCAGGAACATGGGCTGTAGAGCTGGAAAGTCTAGACTGAGCTCCGATTCGCAGCTCCCCAGCTGTGTCGGATCCTTCCAGCTTATCTCCTCATCTTTGAAATAGAAATAACACCATTATTTTTATTTCTCGTGGGGTTGCCGGGAGGGTGAAATGGGCTGATGTAAGTCAGGCTCAGTACTTGGCTGGGGTGCAATACCTATTAGTTCCCCCCTCTCCCCTTTCCTCTTCCCTCTACTGTAACCATTTTTGTTCCAGAGGATTGAAAGTTGTTTTTCCCTCTGCTCTTTTTCTCAGGGAGGACTTGGACCAGGAGGAGAAAGCCAAGTTTGGAGAGTACTGCAGCAGTGAAAGTGGGAAAGGCCGGGAGTGGTTTGCTCGATACGTGAGCGCCCAGGTGAGGGCAGGTGACGGGGAGGAGATTGGTGATGTGTGCCATCCTAACTGTCTCTTTAATTCCTCCACTCTGGAGAAAAGAGTCAAGGGAAATGACCCAACAGAAAACAACACAAAACAAACCCACTTATCTAAAGATGTTCTGAAAAGGCCTATTAAAATGGACAGTGGGAAGTGAGAAATAGCTAGCTCATTTGGATGCCCCACTGGAAAGGAATGAGTGAGCACACTGGCTTCTCCACCACATGAAATTCCATAAAAGCTATTTTTTAAAAGGCAAACATGTGGGCTGTGTGTCCATGCATATTTTTATTAAATAACACTCCATAGTCAGTGTTTGTAACATAATCTATTCAAGACAATGACAGCCATGTAAGTTCAGAGAGGAATTAAGCTTTGTAAGTATCCAGTAGGCTCTTTTTTTTTCTATAAAATGACTTAAGTTCTTAGTTCTTACAGTATTTTTATCACAATGTATTCTTCAAAGAAAAATGAGAAAATGCAGATACGCAAAAACAGAAAAACTACTCATCAGCCTACAATCCAGAAATAGCCAGTGTTGTCATTTGGGGGTTTTGTCCTTCCCCTCTGTCCTTTTCCGTGTGTGGGTGAGTGTGTGAAGTTCCTAGTTTTTAAAATCTCATAAGGAAATGCAGGAAACTGTCCGCTCATGCTCTGCCAAGTGACGGTCAGTCGAGTGCTGGGTGCCAGCACTCTGCTGGGGTCCTGGTTTCTGAAGAGCAGGGGAGGCTGTTACGGTCCTGGGCTCACATCCCAGCTGCATAGAGAGATGCTCAGCACGGTTAGCCCACAGCCTCTCTGAGCTGCCACCTGGTCACCCCGATGACATGTCTGTCCTCTTCCTGGACAGCGCTGCAATTCCAAGTGTGTCTCCGAGCCGACCTTCTACCGCCTGGTGCAGTCTTTTGCTGTGGTCCTGTTCGAGTAAGTAATGCTGTTGCTCAAAGCTTTTGTCCTGTGGAGCTTGTCCTCCCTCCCTGCCCTGCCCCTTAGCAACCAAGGTGTGAGTAACAGCTGCACAAGTCATCGGCTCGAAGTTGCTGGGACACAGCCAGCATCAGCTACAAGGAGACGTCGTGGTGACCAGCATCTCATGGGAGGCAGTTATTAGCAAGCGGTCCTACCTGGAAGTAGCGATTAGAGGACCGCAGCTGGGTGGGAGTAAATTCCTCCACTTGGAGCCTCAGGACAGGCTGTGATTATACTTGTTGGCCTTACCCTCCTCCAGCAGAGATCTGGAGTTTTCTTGATTTCCTGTTGTGAAGTGCTTTAAACTAGGTAACCGCCCACTTAATGATAGGATTGGATGACATAGCCTGCCCTGAGTACGAATTTGGCACTGCTGGAGCCTTTTATCACACAGGCATTCGTAGACAGTGTGGGGTGGTGGGAGGGGCCCCTCTCGGCTTCTGTGTAGCTGTGTGAGGCGGGCCATGGGACACATGGTGCTCTCCTGCTGAGGCCCTGTGGCTCTAGCACTGCCAGACCCGCTTCAGACATCTCGGGCTTGGCATCAGAGCGGGCAACATGCCTTCCAAATTATGAATCTAGGGGACGTATCTCTGCTTAGGGGAAGCCAAGCAGTGGCTTTAGATCCAGGTAGAGGGGGGCAGCTTGTGGGTAGGGAAGGAAGGGGCAGAGGAAGGAAGTCCTGATCTGGCAATCACTCAGTGTGGCCTCAAAGCAGGCCCCTGTCCCGTGGCTTATACCGTGGCCACCTCCCCCTGTCCCCGTGTCCATTTTGCTCCTCCTCTTCTTCTCCCAACATAAATGTAGCTCTTCTCTTCAATCTTAATTCCCCTGTGTCTTGATGTCTCCTCACCTTTTGTATCCCGCCACAAACATGGGGCATGTACTAGAGGAAAGTGACCAAAAAGGGCAGAGAATCTGTTTGTCCTGCACTTGCTCAGAATATCCCAAGTTCAGGATATACTCCCAATGGGGTGAATCTGGGGGTGCCCCCGCCCTCAGCTGGGAGCACATTGGGGGCTCGTGTAAAGCAGCCCCCAGGTTGTCTTGTATGTCGCATGCGCTCGGGCACTGAGTACACTTAAACTTCCAGACATTTGCATCTGTGGGAATTTTCATGAACTCATAGTGTGTGTAGATTGTGCCTGTCCCACATACTTACCTAATTCTTAATTTTTCTTTGAATTTTTCCTTAAATAAATAAAATTGGGGGGAAATTAAATTCAAGTTCTAACCCTGCCCAAACACAAAACCTTCCCATTACTTTGTCTGTGAGCATATACCGGGGGTGGCCAAAAAAAAATGTATACAAGTGGACACTGGTCAACATTGCTCAAGCAGTAGTTCACCATAATCATAAGTGTCTGGACGCTGATGGTAATCACTTTGAGCACCTCTTGTAATTGCAGAAGTCAAACATGACTTGTGTTCATCTTTTATTATTGGTATATATTGAGTATTACAATTTTAATACAGTTTTCCTTTCTTAAAATGTGCATACATTTTTCATTTTTTGGAGCACCTTTTGTATATTTTTGTATGCTTGCAAAAAGAAAAGAAACCTTATACTATTTTGAAATATTTATTAATTTTTAAAATATATGAGTTTTATCATTTTTAGTTAATTAGTATCTTCAGTGTTTACTTTTATTTAGCCTTTTATTAGTAGTTCAGTTCTTTAAAGTATTAGACTATCTTTCTATTAAAAGATAAACAAAAATGGCCCTAATCTACTGTCTAGATCATTTCTGCTGACTTTTGTTTTCAAGTAGTATTTCTCCAAGGTTAAAAACTAAATATGAAAGAAAAGTACAAAAGAGAACAGGATACAAAGGTACAGAAGCCTGAAATGAAAAGGAAAGCCTTTTCACACACCCTCTTCTCTCGATTTGGATCCATCTCCTAACAAACACCACTGCTAATGATGCACACATCAGCAAATATATATTTTTTTCAAAAAATGCATTGCAGGGGCGGCCTGTTAGCTCAGTTGGTTAGAGCGCAGTGCTCATAACACCAAGGTTGCCAGCTCGATTCCCACGCCCTCCACAACTAGATTGAAACAACTACTTGACTTGGAGCTGATTGGTCCTAGAAAAACACTGTTACCCCCCAAAAAATTTTTTTTTAAATTTAATAATAATAAAGAAGGCATTACATTTACATACAGTTCTGCATTTGTAATGGCTGTGTGGTATTCTAATATATCAACATACCATAATTTATTCAACTCATGCCCTGTTGATGGCCTGTAGGTTATCCCTCTTCATTTTCTTCTCTGATTCACAGTGCTGCCGTGGGCATCATGGTAGCTTTTGCAACAATAACAGCACAAATTTCTAGTGACAGACAAGCCCTTCTTTTTGAAGTTTTTCCCTCTTTATTATTATTATTATTATTTTTTGGTTAAGTTGAATGGATCTATGTGTATCTCATGATCTCAATATAGTAAGTATGCTATAACATCATCAGGATAAATCTCTACATTTGTAGAACATTTTTTTAGTATATGAAACATTCAAGTATGCGATAATTTGATTTTCAGCAAGGGACCTAGGGTGGGTAGGTGTCCATATTCCCAGTGCTTCTCAAGTGCCATCCCTGGGCCAGGAGTGTCAGAACATCAGCTTCACAAGGGAGCTTCTTAGAAACGCACAATCTCAGGCCCCACCCCAGACACTCTAAACCCCAGACCCTGGAGGTGGGCCCAGTAATCCACATCTCCCCGTGCCCTCAATGTTATTCTGATGCTGTTCAAGTCAGACCACCATTGACTGGGGTATATAATCCAACTCACTAATTCCTGAGAAGCAGGGGCTGGAGGGCCACTGGCTTTGACCTGAGACCTGAGGCCTGACCTCCAGTCCTGGCGCTGCTCCTGGGTGCAGGGTCCAGCTTCCTGGGCCTTGGCCATTTCACCTTGAAAATGAAAGAGGCCAGGCTGCCAGATGTGAATTCCTTCCTGCCCACAGTCAGACCCAGTCCTCACCATGTGCCTGTGGGTAGTTCACTTAATTGGACCAAGGGGAATTTTTTTTGTTGCTTCTCCTATGTAGCCTCTGGGGAGTGAGGTGTTAATTTAGACATGTTCATAAAGTATTTTGGTCTTGTTTCATGAACTGGCAATGAGAAAATTAGGTTGAACATTTCTTTAGCCAGCCAACCTTGCTTTTCATTTCAGGTGTCATCAGATGGACGACTTTGGACCTGCCAAGAACCTCATGACCATGTGCTTCACTTACTACCACATTGGTAAGACACCGGGGTATGGCTCATGGGGAGGGCAAACTTGGAGACTCAAGACTTGTCAACTTCTGACATGGCATCAGATGAGGATGTCTTCCCAGTTAAGGCAAAAAAACTATGAGACTTCCAAGAAACAATGGAATCTGATGTTAGGAGGGGACGAGCAAGGAGTGAGATCACTACGACAGGAGGAGAAGACCCACGTGGTCTATATCGTGGGTCAAGACATTGTCCATGGTACTAAGGAAACTACCCAGCTGTTAGGAAGTGAGAAAATAAACACATTCTACAGGACATTTCATGGTAGACACAGGACTTGCTGGATGTGAGGACACCAGTTTTAGGTTTTAGCAAAATGTGACACCAGGTTGGCTGTTGAAGGGAGATAAGAGGAAACAGTCTAGATCTTAGGCTGGAAAGCGTTCCCCAGGATGGGCTGGAGATGCCTTAGTGAAGAGTGCACATTGTTCTTTACACCGAGGCTCTGACAGCTATTCTGACTCATTCCTTTGGAACTTTCCGGTGCATTGGAGTTTGAGGGCTCCTATGTTAAGCTGCTACAACAGTCTCATTCAGGCCACTGTAAGAAGAAGGTTGCTGGGGGCCTGCCCATGAAGTAGAGCTGGGTCAGGGCAGTGCTGCCACCGGCCTCCCTTTCTACCCTCCCTCATGACCCACGGGTTCGCTCCTGTGGTGTATCCCTGTTCTCTGCAACGTGGCTTCATCCTTTCCTCGCTCCCAGCAGCCCATCTTCTCCACGCTCCTCTGTTCTGTTGGCGATAGCTGGTCTGACTGCCTTAGCTTGGCCAGGCCACCACTGGGCAGGCCCGTGATGCCAGGCCATTCATTGGCTGACTTTGGGTCAGATGGGAACCCCTCATCCAACCTGTGGCTCCTCCTCAAAGAACAGCTAGACACTGCTTGTCTGGGTCAGATCTGTGCACAGAGCAGCTTAAATTAGTAGGAGACACCGAGCAGCTTGACCTGTAGAGAGTCCTTTTACCTGTAGGGGATGTCTTGCCTGCGGGGGGCACCTGTGACCTGTAGGGGGTACCTTGACCTGTAAGGGGGTGACTTGACCTGTAGGGGCACCTTGGCTTGCAGGAGGCCCTCTGACCTGTAAAGGGTGCCTTGGCCTATAGGGGGCTCCTTGGCTTGTAGAAGGCACCTTAGCCTGTAAGGGAGGCCTTGGCCTGTAAGGTGCGTCTTGGCCTGAAGGTCAACACACTGTGCTTAGAAAGAGGCATTCTTTGTGTTGCCTCCACTCACATACCTCCTTCTCCCAGGATACCCTCCTCCTGCCGTCTCCCTCGTCCTGTTTCAGGTGCCATCAAGCCTGTCCAGAATCTGCATGCCTCCTCCCAACCACGAGGAAGGACTCTTCTATTGTCCTGTTGCCCTTGGCCTCACGACCACGTTATTGCTTTCTATCTTATGCTCTTGCTCTGTGTGTGCATTGCTCACCTGCTTTCTGGACTGTGTGCTTCTTTGGGGCTGGATCCTTACGTGTTTCTTCTGTAGCCCCTTGTGGCATCTGGATGACTTCTTGTACCCAATCAGTGCTTAGTGACTGCCCTGAGAGAGAAGGTGCCAGGCCCCGGTCTTCTGGGCGCCTCTGAGCCTTTGGCTTCTTGCTGCCGTGTCTGGCAATTGCAGAAGGAGGGATCCCCACCACCCCAGAGTGGCTCCAGCAGCGAACAGGAGTTCCTTTCCACCCTCTGTTGGTGCTGCCGCACAGTACAGTTCTTACTCCTGCCCTCTTTCCCCGCTGTCTCTAGGTAAACCGCACCTGTTCCCCTCAGAATCGAAGGAGAAGCCCGCAGGGAGCATCGACTCCTACTTGAAGTCCGCCAACAGCTGGTTAGCCGAGAAGAAGGACATTGCTGAGCGGCTGCTGAAGAACACGTCGGCCAAGACAGAGAATGTCAAGGGCTTCTTCGGGGGGCTGGAGACCAAGCTCAAGGGACCTCTGGTCAGGAAAAATGAGTGAGTGTCACCTAATGTGCATCCCGGTGTGTCTGTGCAGAGGGCAGGCACACAGGTGTGATAACCCACAGAGGCCCCATTAAGCCCAAAGTGATGAGGCGGCACTGGCCTGGTAATGGAAGGATCTGTCTGCCCTTGGTGAACTGCGGGGGCCCCAGAGCCGCTCCTGAGAAGCACAGCTGCTGGCCCAGCTTGACTCCCTGCCCCGCCCGCCCCGAGTTTTCTAGGGTTTCCAAATGCCATTTCATTAGCTGACATGCGGGGATGTCCCCCGTGGGTCCATGTTTTCTAGAACGGATGAGGAGCATATGTAACTTGTCAGTTGGCAGGAGGGAAATGACAAACCCTCCCTTCTCCTTTCTCTAACTGTGGCGAGAGCTTGTGTTAAAGGAATGAGGTCGACTCAGAAGAAACCGCTGTTCCCAAGACAGCGGTTCTCCCACAGAAATTCAGGAACCCTATCACAGGCGTGTAGAAGCTCACATTTCCACAGAGAAAGGGGACGCATCAAAAAGAGAGCCCTGGACCCACTGCCTGTGCCAACTACCCTGGGGTCCCTGCCGTTGCCTCCGATGGCTTGGTTACAACCGGGTGACCTGACTTTATGCCTCTTCTGGTCCAGAGAAAACGGCACCGAGAAGCCTGAATTCTAAAAGACCGGCAATTGACAAATGTAGCATTGGTTTAATGGAAATGTTTTAGAGGAAGCCACATTAAATGTACACATTGATTATGAGACTGAATCCCGTTTCAGCAACGTAAACTGGCTTCTTTGAGCGACCGTGGGGGTCATATGGTCACTGCTGTGGTTTCTCTTCTGCAGGGAGGATGAGAGCAAGCCCAAGGACAAGCAGCAGAAGACAGGTGAGTCCGCCCAGCTCTCCAGTCCCAGTAACCCAGGTCCCCTCGGGGGTCTTAAGCCACCACCTTAATGAGCAGCTCCAGCAAGCAGGTCCATCACCGTCCTGGGGCTCTACTGCCTCTGTAGCATAAGATGCTGCCGTGGGTGACTCACCAGTGTGTCTCAGCTCCAGTCTGTTTTCTTACTGAATTTCCATGGAGGAGCCCCTTCTCTGGGGAGAGGATGCAGGAACTAAGCTCCTTATCCCAGGGAAGTTAAGAGAAGTGTTGCCAGGGGTACAGGAGCCTTTCAGGGACGCCCCCCCACCTTCCGTCAGAAGGGGTCCTCATTGCCCGGTGTGAGGAGCGTCATTACTGCCCATGGGCAGGAGACAAGCTGTCGTGCGATTTCAACAGTGCATTTCTATGGACTTTGGGCAGACGCGGTGGCTGCCAGGAGTGTCCCCATGGGGTTTGCCAACATGTGGGTGCAGCCAGAGCCACGTTCAGTCTTTCCCCCCTTCCCGCAGTGACTGTGTGCAGCCCAGAAGAGGAAAGGAAGGGAGAAAAGATCTACCTGTACACGCACCTGAATCAGCAGCCCATCTGGTAAGGCCGCCCTTGTACCGGTGGGGCAGCCGTCCCTGCACTTGGTCTCCATGAGAAATGAAGGTCACGTACGCCCACTAGGATAGCCAAACTAAGACCGATGAACGATAGCCCAGGGCTGGTGAGGATGTGGGGAAATTGGAACCCTCGTACACTGCCGGGGCAGCCACTTCGGAAAACAGCCTGGCAGTTCCTCAGAAGGTTCAATGTAGAATTACCCTATGACATAGCACTTCAATTCTACGAAGGTACTCACAAGAATTGAAAATGAATACTGAAGTAAAAATGTGTGCACATATGTTCATAATAGTGTTATTCCTAATTAGCCAAAAGGCGGGAACAACCTGAGTGTCTATCTGCATGGACATGTGATGTATGGATTCATCACAAAATGGGATCTATCCCCACCATGGACTATCTATCATCCAGCCATGTAAAGGAAGGAGGCACCGACACGTGCTCCAGCATGTGTGAGCCTGGAACACATTTTGCTACGTGAAGGAAGCCAGACCACAAAGACCACATAGTGTTTGATTCCATTGATGTAAAATGTTCAGGATCGCCAAATCCCTGGAGACAGAGTAGCTTAGTGGTTGCCAGGGGCTGGGGGAAATGGGGAATGACGAGTGACTGCGAATGTACAGGGTTTCTTTATGGGGTGATGAGAGTGTTTTGGAAATAGATAGTGGTGATGGTTGCACAATTCTGTGAATATACTAAAACCCACTGAGTTGTACACTTGAAGAGCGAAATGTTATGGTTTATGTGAATTATAGCCCCATACAGCTATTTCATTTATAGGAAGGTCCTGGTTAACGGGTGAGGCCAGTGGACAGGGGAAGTCCTGCTTTGTGGATGGCCACTTGTGCTGCTGTAATCCCTCCAAAGCCTCTCCATCACCCTATTTTATTTAGTCATAGGAGGCAGTGTACTAGCACTTGGAACCCAGAGGGTGTCAGACGGGCCCCTCCCTCCAAGATCACAGTCTAGCCCTGGGAGAACTTGGCCACAACAAAGGAAGGGCCGTGGTAGGTATGAGGCCAGGGAGGGCCGAGCTGCAGTTGTCCAGGAACCTCTGTGCAGAGGCTCCACCTGAGTGGGCCAGGTTCAAGGAGAAGGCAGCCGAAGGGAAAGCCGACCAGCCCGTCAAACCCGTCCAGGGCCACTCTGGGCCTTGATTTGGGGGCTGTCTTATCATCTGCAACAGGATGACAACCCGAAAGGGCCAGGTGGTGAATATGTTAGGCTTTGCAGGCATGCACTCAACTCTGCTATTAGACACTATGTCAATGAATGGGCGGGGCTGTGTGCCCATAAACCTTGATTGACACAAACAGGCAGTGGCTGGATGAGGCCCACCCACCCAATCGGCAGTTTGCCGACCCCTGATCTTTAAGAGGCATGTTTCGCACTGTATGTCCCTATAAACATGTTTGCCCTCTGCACACGCCAGGTTCCCGTTTATGTTCCTAGCTCTTGTTCTGGAGAAGCAGATCTCCTTGAATCCCCAGCTTTCTTTCTCTTGGGAGCTTCCGTGGGGAGATGGCGAAGCAGGAAATTGCCTCCGCCTGCATCCCTCCTATGGCAGCTTCAGCTTTGCCCTGAAGAATCCAGGGTTACCCAGCTCCGCCTCTCACCTTTCTGCCTGCACCTCAGCCATTATGTCCCCCCCCCCCCCCCCCCCGGAGAGAAGAGCAGACAAGCTCGAGATCCTTGCCCAGGAAGCCCAGGGAGGCACCGAACTGAGGACAGAGGCACATGCTACTTCTCTCAGCGATGCCTCCCTGAGGCTGTTGGCAGCTTGTCCAGACGTGGCAGGAAGCTCCGCCTCCTCACCCCTCACTGGGGGCCGAGAGCTGCCTCCCCCACCCCGCTTAGGGAGGGAGAACCGACGCATGTCTCTGTCTCGCAGGCATACGCTGAGGTTCTGGAATGCGGCCTTTTTCGATGCTGTCCACTGTGAGAGGAGAAAGCGGTCCCCCACCACCAGGTAGGAGCAAAGTCCGGGCCTGCTTTCTTCGGGAAAGAGGACCCAGGAGATCTTTCTCTTCCCGGTTCTGAAGAGGAGAGCGGAACGGCTGAGTCCATGCGTCTGTGTTTCTCCTTCAACCCCGTCTGGCCAGCGCCCTGCAAGCTGCCTGAAGGGTCCGGGGCGTCCAGTTTCATGGGCGGGTGGGGGTCCTCAGCTTGCATGAGCGCTTCTCGCCCTGGGGCTCTGGCATGACTTGGCCTGACCCTCCTAAGAAATGCCGACTCCCACTGAATGAAACCATCAGGACCCCTTCAGACCCACTCTCCCTCTTCGCTGTAAGAAGCCAGAATCTTGAGCACGAGCCGCTGCCCCAGGATCCTGGGGCACAGAGCTGGCTGCCACCCCCAGACTTTGCTCTAACATCCGGGGAAATGCTATTGCTGCTTTCAATTGACTCCTCTGGTCTGCAGCCTGAACAGACGGCTCCAGCTTCGCTGAGGGTAGCCTGGCCGCTTCAGAAGACCCCTTGGGTGAACCCTTTTGCAGAGCACGTGGCGGCTGTGAGGGGTTGGCACTGACGTGGTGGGGCTGGTGCTCGGTTCTCTCTCTGGCCACAGCGAGCTAAGGTTGCCTCCTGCAGCACACAGCGCCGGGCAGGACAGATAGCAGCCCTCCCAGTCCTGGGCCCTCTGATTGGCTCCGCCAGTCCTGGGTCTGTGAAACCCCTGAACCTCTCCTCATTAACAAACTGAGCCCCCTCTTCTCTAACACTGGGGAGACCCCTTTGTCCTGGGCAGGAGAGAGAGCAGAGCCTGCTGTTTAAGACTTCAGTCCACCAGCACGTGGGGGAATCTTAGGTGAAATGTATCTGTTGGGGTGGGGGGGGGCAGCTAAACCCTAAGGGGGGCAAGATGGCTGCATTTTCTGGGGAGGCAGAGGGTGCACATGGTGGGGACACTGACACTCTTCCCGAGGACTCAAGAGAGAGAACTCTACGCTCTGCCAGGAATCGAAAAGGGAAGGCAGTGCTGAGATGCTTGTAGGTGAATGGGCTCCTCCTGTCACTTAGCTCTCAGACTCCTAGGAAACAGATTTACCTCGAGTAGCCTGCCTCTCTCTGTCCTTCTCCGTTTCTGCCTGTAATAACCTTCCTTCCTGCGCTTGTTCTCTTTTTCCATTCACATATCTTGCATGACTCTGACATGTTCCTCTGTTGCCCTGTTTCTGCTGCCGCTCCAGAGTGGATGCTGGAGAGGAGGAGAAGAAGAGGTGTGTGTCCACGTGACTTTGCTCATGTTACAGTGCTGGGGGTTCCTTCCAGGGCCACCTCAGGGGGGGCGGGCAGAGCCCCGACACGGGTGCCACTCAGCGCTGGGACAGGCTGGTGCCGGGTGAGAGCTTGCCAAGGACAGAGCACCCCAAAGTAGACAGGAAGCAAATAAGGCACCCCAAGACCTCCCAGAAGGCCCGGTGGGAGTTGAGAGAGGAGAGAGCAGTGAAGTCCAGAAGGTCGGCTCCGATTTTGAGGGAACTGAGCTTTCTACCGGCCCCTTCCAGGCAGACCTTGAAGCCACACCCACGGCTCCACTTGTGTCACACTCAGAACCCCAGCTTGGAAGTCATGGGTGGGTACAAAGGATCTGTGTCTTTGTGGTCACATGCTCGGAGGTGTGCAGGGGTCTGCCAGACCCTCGCCCACCGTAACAGATTTGAGGCGTCACAGAGAATGGACAGCTGCTCTCTCTTTCCAGCCTGATGGGGAGCCTGTGTATGTGAGGGGGTCCCCTGAAGATAAAAGCCTAGAACGAGGCTGTTTTCTGCAAGCCCACAGTGGGGTCTGACTCAAATTGTTTGAACTTTGTATTTGTTAGACCTCTTTTATAATATATTTTTGGAGTTATAGACCTATTCAAAATATCGTTTCTGATACAGTGATTTTTTTTCCCCCATGGAGATTTCCCAAAGCATGTTTCCTGTAATCAGTGATATATTTTTAGTGCTTCCTGTTTTATGAGAAATCTTGTTTCTTATGCAGCCTTATTATGGCTCTAAAAGAAGCATTTAGGCATAACATATATCTTCTTTAATAGAAAGCCCCGGAGTTCCCACAGTATCTCTGGGTGAGTGTGATTAACCAGCCTTCCCAGAGCAATGCTTCTTAGCACCACAGCCGAGGCCCAAGAGGGTGGGAGCATTGTGGCCTCCCAGCCGGCGGGTGCTGAGCTTGCAAGTGGAGGCCAGCCTGTGGGCCTCAGAGGCCTCACCGGAGCAGATGTGGTCTGACCATGCACATCTTGGAACTGACCCCTGGGACACCCAGACATGCCCCAGGCCTCACCTTGAAGAAGGGCAAGTGTTGCTTCGAGATTGGGGGCGGAGAGAGGGTGGTTGGCTCGGAGTCCAGGGAATCCCCATGCCACCAACATTATTCTTCCTCTTTGGCAAACCCTGCTGACAATGCCATTGGTGTCCTCTCTGTTCTCAGAGGCGGACATGGCTTCATTGCAGAGCTTCCCACACTCTGCAGGCTGTTGGTCACATCCCACTTCCCACTGCAGCCATCTGGATATATGTCCCGCCTTTCGTGCAGAATTAGACCTCAGCTGGTATTGGGTGTTCCATTCAGTGTAAAGGAATTGCTTTGATTGTAGCGTCACCCAATCTGCTGCTTGCTAATGACCTTCCACCTCTTTCTTTGGAGATCAGATTAAAGGTCCCAGTTCTACCTCTAGCCACGAAAAAGAATCACCTCTTTGTCTGAGTCAGGAGGAATGGAGGTCAGGGCTGCTGTGCTGCATGATTCCAAGAGAACCATTCCCACGTGATCTGGGGTTGTGCAGTCTGCAGCCTGCACAACTGTACACGGCGGGCCTGGTGGTGATGTGGGGATCTATGCCTGGACCGTCCTAAGCATGACCATTGCGGGAAAGAGGATGGGAAGGAAAAGGGGATGGGATTAGCATAGTCCCTGGAAGCATATCCTGGGTATCTTCATGGGTGTCCTGGCATCAGCCTGAGGAGACTGGAGCCGCACCTCCCCTTGCCTCTGTCAGGCCCTTAATGGCCTCCTGCTGAGCTGCGGCAGCAACAGCGGCCTCCCTGGGCCTGGAGGGTGGAGAGAAGTGTTGATGTTCTTGGTTCTGTTTCTCTTCCTCTGGCTTCTCCATTATCCTGACCCCTCGTCCCTCATACTGCCTCCTCCTCTCCCTTTTCTTTGATCTTTCTCTTAACCTTGTTTTAGTCAGGCTCATCATCCAGAGTTGAATTTTTAAGGGGAAATAGGTTAAAATGAGCTCTCCTCACGGTCCGCATCTCCTGCAGGTAGCACACTTCTCAGACAGACATGTTGCATTGTTTACCCCAGGGGGACACCAGTGGTGGAGGAGGGCGGGAGCGGGACAGTCCCCCGTCCACTTGGGACATGGGTGCTCTGCCACGAGGGGAAGGGGAGAGGGCTGTCACGGAGGGACACTGAATTAACATCACTCAAAAGAATAGCCTCCTGTCCCCAAACCCTGTGCTCGCTCGTGTTCCTCCCCAGAGAATGGGCAGGCAGTTTCTTTCTCGGGGTCCCACCCGTGAAGCCACACACAGACCGAGTTCCTTTCTCATTGGGCTTTCGCACTTTGTGTTAGAGGCTTTGTGCTATCTTCCCGGTGGGCCCAGGTCACTGTTCCCTGTGGGGAAAACTGGGGGTCTGGTCCACGCACTCTGGGAGGGGTGTGGAGAGCCAGCGTCGTCTGTGAGGAAACCAAGGGGACGAAAGTGACTCTGCAGAGCCAAGGCTGCCTGACCGGACCGTGTGGGCGGCAGAAGCCTTGCAGCCTCTCTGCTCCCTGGGCCTCCCAGCGAGAGAGCCTGTGGGCTCTGCCTCCCGCAGCGAGCCGTCCCCTCACTGGCAAGGTAGAGCCACCACAGCCAGTGAGGCCTGGAGACATAGCTCCAGTCTGAGAGCTGTCTCGCCAGGGTCTGGACGCCCGCGCTCCGCAGGAAGCTGGCTGGGTTCTTTCCTCTGCAGGTCTCTCTGCTTAAAATGGGGCCATGACTTCCCATCCTTGAATGCAGGGAAGCACATGGGGGATGGCGTTCTTGTCTCCTAGAGAATGTTCTAGGCAACCACTAAGCACACGTCATCCCGGCCCAGTAGAAAGCTTATGAGCATTTAGATCTTCTCATCTCAGGAAGGATGACATTTATAAATAAGTCTGTATTTTGGGCCCCTCAGGCAGAGTGTCAGAACTCTGGCAGACTTTGTGTAAAAGCAAAGGGAGCAGCTCCTACATTAGGGAGGCCACCGTTGGGTGTCGCCGACACCTGTAGGTCAGGGCGGGGGAGGGGTGAGTGGCTGGGGGTGCAGCGGCACCCTCAACACCCTCTCCGGTCACCTCCTGTGCTTACAGGGAGAAGTGGTGCCACATGACCCAGGAGGAGCGTGATGACAGCCTGCGGTTCAACGAAAACATCACCTTCGGGCAACTGGGGTAAGAGCACTGGGGGGTCCCTCATGACCTAGAGAGAGGGGGACGCGTTGGGAGCCTAACCCGTGCCTCTCCGCACACCGAGTCACCCATGGAATGAGAAGGCAGGGCAGAGTGAGGCGCCGACACTGACACCCAGACTCGGTGAGGAGGGGACCCCAGGCTGAGATACTTCTACCTGGGGGCTCCGTGAGGGGAGCGCCACCCCTCACAATGTCGCACATCCGTGACACAATGTCAGTACAGCTGTGTGGTCTTCGGCAGCTCAAAAGCATAGGATTTGTTACGTTTGACCTGGATTGAAGTTCCTAATTCATCCTATCCACACATCTGGGGCGGGCAGTGCCACAGGGAGTGTTGCTGGCCGGCTGAGGCAGGGACATCGTTTGGTTTTACTTTTGTCTGACTATTGCCTGCATGTTGGGCCTCCCAGAGAGAAGGGCCCTGGTCCCAGTGCCTTCTCCCCAGGAAGGCAGGAGGGGTGCGCGCTCACGGGTGTTTTTCCCTCCAGCACGTTCACTCACAACATGCTGGCGTTTGGTCTGAACAAGAAGCTGTGCAATGACTTCCTGAAAAAGCAGGCCGTGATTGGCAACCTGGACGAAGGTGAGTTACGGCCAGGGGCGGGGAGGGCTGCACGTTAGCCACAAATGCTCCGCAAGCTGGACTTCCCCGCCCTGATGAAAGGCTTGTCCCTGTTTTAAGGAGAAATACGGTGCGAAGCTATCTGGCCGGGTCACCCCTCCTCTGTTTCTGTCTACTTACATACACAGGGCGTTTCTCATTCCTTTTGGAAATCCATTTCTGCTAGGCAGAGTTTGCCAGGGGCTGGGGGGAGCTCGTCAGGGCCAGAGGTAAAAATGTAATGTGGTGCCCAGACTGTGAACTTGAAAATGGTCCAACTCTGGCCACAGATTGCCCCCTCCTTCTAAGTGGCCTTCTAAGTGTGGCCTCCCTTTGTTTCTTGAAACACACTGCCATGAGGTACGGGGGTGGTATGTTGGGTGGAGAGAGGGTCTTGAGGTTTTTTCTGATTTCTGACTTCTGGAACAAAAGGGCATCTCTTGCCGATGTCAGCTTCCCTAAGCTACATGAGGGTCCACCTTCATGCATCACCCCAGCTGCTACAAACAGTTCTTCCTCATGACCTCCAAAGCTTTCCGTTTAAATGTAGATTTGGATTGACCAGTATTCTTAAAAAAAAAAAAACCCAAAAAACTTCATCCTGCACCAAATTAAAGGAGCCGCAAAGGAATGGCCTCAAGAGGCAGGAGAGTGTTAGCGGCACTTCCAGATGTTCTCAGATATTGTCACCAGCCCCACCACGCTAGCCAAGGGCAAGAACACTGCCCCCTTTCCTGCCATGTGGCCCCTGTGCAGTCCACAGGACCCGGGCCTGGCTCCCGTGACACAGTTTATCTGCCCGTACTGGGCCTTCTGGGAGGGCCTGTGGGGCCACCCTCCGTAGCATCATTCCCATGAGAAGAGGCTCCTCATTCCAAGGAGCCCACTTCCCGACATGCAGCGTGCTGGTGGCCGAGGGCTCTGTGTCATCACACACCTTCAGAAACCTGCGCTCACTGTTCCTGATGAAGTTCTGATTTGTCACCGCCCCAGTGAGAAGAGCAGGACCTGCCTGTCCACGCCGCCATCTTTCTCCCACGAAATAACGTTGTTCTCTCTTGCAGAGCAATACAAGCTGCTGAGTGACCACATTGAACAGATGGCCACTGAGTAGGCCGCCGGGGGGCGCCCAAGGCACCCCTTAGGAATATTGAGGGTGCGCGCCACTCTTCTGGGCCGGCGCCTGGCTGTCACCCCGCCCGATGACCCTGCATGACATCGGCAGCACCTAGAGCCTCTCCATGCTGCCCAAGAACTAGCAGTTAAAAGACTCCGGTTGCCCATTCTCCCCGCCTCCTCCCTGCCTGTGTCTGCTCCCCTATCCACGTGCCAAAGTGTCCCTGGGATTACAAGATGACTGTTCATATCCCCAAGTGTCAGGCTGTGACATAGGACTGAGGGAGGAGGAAGAAGAAGGCTAGGGCCAGGGTGGGCACAGGGCAGGGTCTGCCTGCAGCCTCCTGCAGGAGAGGGTGGGGTGCTTGTGGGACTGTAGCTAAGGACACACACCAATGACACGGGGCAGTCATGGGTGATGACTTAGAGCCTTTTGCTTCAGGCTTGGGACGGGGCAGACCCCCACCATCGGGGTCCTTGCTGAGCGGCTGTGTGCAGAGGGAGCAGTGGGCCTTCTCAGTGTTGGTCCATGACTGGGACTGGCTTTTTCCTGGCTCCCCCCTCCATGTGACAGGAACTAGATAGAGTCACAGGAACGCTGAGGAGGAGAGAGATGCCTCCTCTTTTAGGGAGGGAGAGAGACTGGCACCGAGGGCATTCCTTCCTGTTGGCAGAAGGCCTGGCCACAGGGTGTGGAGTGCCCTGGAGATATCACTGTATCAGAGTTACACCAGCATGGAGGTGTCCGTGTCAGACCGCCTGAAATGTTCCTAATCAGCTGACAGCTTCCTTCTGAAGCAGAAAAAGTCCCACCTCTCACTCCCTGGGAGTAACGTCGGGCTGTCTGCCCCAGGAAGCAGCACAGAAAAGAAAAGCTTCTTCAGTAGCTGCAAGACAACCACCCTTTCTAAAAGCAAACAGTGCTTCTCTTTATTTCAAAGAAGACAGAAAAATCCGTGTCGGTGTTACAGACGGCTGGGCCCAGGTGGCTTCTCGTGGCGGTTGTACTTGGCTCTTTAGTGGAGTGACTTCAGAGTACTGGACCCTCCACCCCCTGGAAGCTTCAGGAAGGTGGCTTTACCTTCCGCAGCCCATGCCCTTTGAGCTCTTCCCTGCAGACTCTGCACCTACCCCCTCCTCTCACTTCCGGTGCCTGGGAAGCCTGGCTCTTCTCCCTGGGTTTGTACCAGGCACGGCAGACCCGCCTGAGGGCATTGATGTCTGAGCCCCTCAAGCATCCAGCATGCTGGCTCCTCTGGTGGGAATATTTCGGCCTGGTTTCCTCTGCCTCCTGCCCATCGCCTTTGGGCACTGACCTTGAAATTGGCCTGTGGGGCTCTCTCAGTTCTCCCTTCACTCGCCCATCCTGTTTTCCCTACTACCTCCTCCGACTCACAATCGCATTACATTACTGTTTCTCCTTGAGCGTAGCGAATACATACCTGGTAGTCATTTACCCAGCCAGTGCTCGGAAGGGTTCCCTGCTGGAATGCCTCCCTGGAGTGTTCCAGAGAAGAGCAGGTGTTGGTTGAGCCGTGGAATGCACATCTGGGTAATCATAAGAGAGGCGCCGTGAAACGTGGTGCCGTCTGAGTGTGTGGTGTGAGCTGTTGCCGGCCCAAAGAGCTGGGGAGGGGCCTGCAGAAACCCGGCTTGTTTTTTGATGGCTGTGTGTGTGTGTGTGTGTGTGTGTGTGTGTGTGTGTGTGAGAGAGAGACGTCAGCCTTTTTGGTGATGTCACTATAAACGGAGCACAACTGTGTTGCCAATTTGCTTACTGCATGCCAGGGCCGGTCACACAGGCTGGATAGTGTGCCCCCAACCCCACTGTTGGGCCCCAAAGATGGTGCATGTCTCTCCTGAATGCAAATTGATGGGTCTGTGGCCACGCCCCCCTCCCATGCCTCCTTCAGATAATGCATCTTTAAGTGTTCAACCATGACCCCTGGATGTGCCGTGCTCGCTTTCCCCCTCTGTGACACCGGGGCCACACCGAGCAGCTTGTTCAAGGCCCTTCCTCGCGGGGCTCCCGTACAGCCCCTCCGTTGAGCTTGCTCTCGTTGGCTTTCGTCGTCATTTCTTAGTAGCTAGTTGAAATGCGTTAAGACTTCAAGGTGCCCAAAAGATTTCTCCTTGCATATATAAGATTTTTTTGTGTGTAGAAGTTTTGATTCAGTCTGATTTCCAGAGGAAGAAAAGTGGGTTTGGAGACTTCCCAGGGGTGCTGGTGGGCAGGGGCAGGGGCACACAGGCTTTGGAAGGAAGCACACCTTCCACTTCTTTGGGCTTTTTCAAGCACTTTAACTTCACAAATGATCTGGAGACCCTTTTTTAAAATTTTTTTTTTATATATATATAGGCCTCTTGAGATAGCAGTTGAAGGTGGAAGCAAGGGTTGCTTTGTTTTTTCCCCTCTCGCTCCTTGTTCTCATACATCCAGCTCCTCAGAGTGGAGTAAGTCTGACCCCCAGAGGCGCTGGCTGTTGTGTTCAGCTCCACAAGGGGACAGTGGAGAGTCAGTGGGCCCGCCTAGGTGTGACCAGTGCCTGGGCGGATCGCAGGCTGCCCTGTCTCCTGTTGGCATCTGCCTTGGGCTAAGCATTTCACCTTAGCGTGCCTCTGGCCAGTGTCACCTGGAGGAACGCAGCGTCCCTGGAAGGGGGCTGGCAGCTGGCCTCACTGACATTCCCTCTCTCCTCCCTGGGACATTGTTTCTTCCCTCCGGGGCCTGGCCAGAGCAAACACAGGACACGCTCTCAGAGGTGCCAGCATGTGGAGCAGCTGTGTGACCCCAGGGCACACACAGGACGCTTTGGTAGCTCTGGTAGCCCTTCCTATGAACTCAGGAACCTTACACTCAGTGCGGGAAGCATCAGATCGTGTCCAAGAAGAGAGTTTCCAGTCCCAGCAGGTGGAGGGTCCCAAGCCGGGAGCTTTGAAGGCCTGTCAGTAGCAGTGTCACTTCAGATGTTCTGCTTTCAGTCCCTCAGGGCGATGTGAACCATAATGAGCCCAAAGACTGCTAACTCTCTCAAGTCCAGAGTTCCCCGCTCAGAAAACAGGATGAGGCGGAGACACGGCCTGGTGTGTTTTTAGCCTTCGTTATCATTTTAGCAATATTGATGGATGGACGAGGGGCCGTGTTGATACTCAGATAGCACCTGCTGTGTGTGCATGAATGTGTGTGCGTGGAACCACAGGCCGGAGAGCCAGCGTGTGATATTGTAAGCTATTTGTACAGTGAAATGGAGTAGACTTTGATTTTCCTATTGCCAAAAGACCAAAACAAAAAAAAGTGGGCTAAGGAGCTCTAAAACGACCAAAAGGAGGACTAGAAAGAGTCCACTTCCTGAATTTTGTACTCAAATGAGAACCAGGGGTGTTCAGGTTAACCCAGCGATTCGACGGTGAGTTTAGGGCAGAAGCCAGGGTGAGACTCAGGGGCACCGCCCCAGAATCCTGTTCTCACCTCTCCACACTCAGTGAGACAGTGGGGTTCACTGTCGTGGGGAGAAGGCAACAGCTTAGGGTATGCTCTTCCGGGACCATTTTATGCGGATTAATTTATCACCCGGGACCCCTGGTATTTCAGTCTCCTGATGTGAAAGGTACAGTGTTCCCTCCACAGAGGAGTTTGTAAGAGGTTTCGTCTAATCCGGATGACTGTACCCGGAAGTCAGGGCCGCAAACTGCAGGCCTGGGTGGGACAGCACCCTAACCTTTGGCATTTGAATTGGGGAGGCTCCAGCTAGACCCGTGGTTCGGTCAGCTTGATTACCAATTCCCTAAAACTTCAGACACCTGTGCTCAGCCCTTTGCCCACAATGATAGGGACTTGGGAAGGCAGGAGTGCTCGAGGCCCAGCCCCGGCCTCTGGAGAGGGGAGCAGTGAGCCCCTCCCGCCGCGCCCATCCCAGGGGTTTCAGGCTAGGCTGTTCTCTCATCTTCCTCAACTGTAGACGAAGCTGCTGGGTGGGGGTCCCTACATTCCCTCAGCTCTGAGGGTTATTCTCGCTGCCCCCCACTCCTGCCACCACCCAGCTTTTTAGTTTTTCTTAACCATTGCTCTTATGATTCAGCTGTCTCACTCTGCTTTCCTATAAATCAGTTATTCCTTTTTATGATTCTCAAGGATGGGTTTTACTTGAAAAGCTTTCAGCCGAGTTGCACGGTAAAGGGAAGTCATATTGGCTAAAAGTGCCCCTAATTGACTACTGGGCAGTGTTCAGACCCCACGCGGGAACAGGGGTTTACTCAGGCCACACAGCCATACGTCCCAGCATGTACATCCTTGTTGCCACGTGGCCGGGAATAGAAATATGTTGGTTCTCCAGAGAACAAATGGATGAATCATTTCCAGATGGTTCACATTTGGCGGATACACTCAATGCTAAGACCAAGGCAGGCTCACCAGGGCGGGGGGGGGGGCTCATCCTGGGCCTGGTCTCCCTTGCCCTCCCTGGGCCCCTGTGTCTTGTACTCCTCAGGGGGGATGGAAGGGACACCTCGCGGGGGGGGGGCAGCCTGCTTTGTTCTGTGCATCTCCTGATGTTAGCCTGTGTCCCCAAGTTGGCCAGTCTGTCTGAGCTCTGAGCAGGAAGACGAGTAGAGAGCTGGGGAGTGGAACCCCAGCCCTAGCTGGTCCCCAGGATTCAAGTGGGGCAGTGCTCCCAGTCCCTGGGCCTTGGTTACTATTGGAAAGAGGGAAACTCATCATTTCCAGGAGAGAATCAGGATGGCCTAGGTCTGCCCATCTTCCCATCACTTTCATACACAGCTCCCTCCCACAGGACATCTGTGCCATGGGGGAGAACCCAGATCCTGGCTTAACCTGCAGACTCCAGGCTTTGGCAAGGCAAAGTCAGACTGGGCCCCCCCCACCCCCTACACACACACCTGGAGCTCCCTGAGCCATGTTTGCACTTTAACTAGACTCCTAACTGGCAAACCCCCTTTGACCTGTGGGTCAGTCCTGGCATGGAGGGGGGGGGAACCTGTGTCTATTCTCTCCTTGGCCCTGGGCACTGTGCTTCTAAAAAGAGAAAGAGGATTGCTCACCAGGCACCGTCTGCACCCCAAGGCTCTGACACAGATGGGGTCCTGATCGCTTTCCTCTGCTGGCGACAGCGAGGTTCAGGTTCTCCTGCCCACAAGGTCGGGAGCAGGCCTGGGGCTAGCACTTCCGGTGGGCGCCTTCAGAAAGACAAGCCAAATGTTTGAACACGAGGACATCCAAACAGTAGACATAGATCCCCTTAAAATATGTAAATGTGCTAGAACATGGTCAGTCAGCTGCCTTTGTCATAAACTGTGGCTTCTACTGGGGTACATGTGTGCATTCTGTTTTCCCTGTCACCCCAGTTTGTCTCAGACCTGAACTTGGCCTTGCCACATGCAGACATCACCTTTCGTAGCCCAAAAGTAGAGTTCAGTGGTGCAGGTCGTTTTTTGTGTCTCAGTTATGCAATTTTGTGTCCCACCTGGTGATGTTCTGCAAACTATATTTTAAGGTTGAGAAAGTTTCAAGGTTGAGGATCTCAGAACAGTGCTAAATTCATGCTGTTTCCTGTGAAGAAAAAAAAATATATATATATGTGTGTGTGTGTGTGTGTCTATATATCGCACTTCAGGTTGTCAGAAGGTGGAAAACTGAAATAAATTATCTTTAAAGAAAAAAAATTCAGTCTCTTTAATTATTGTGTTCACATATCCATGGGGACTTTACAGAATTTGCAATCTTCTCGGTGACATCAGTGGCTTTGCAGAAGAAAACATTTTTTTTTCCTGGGGTCAACGTTTTCATCATTTAGGATGAGTGTTGGGGTCTTGTCCAGATGTGTGTGCGTGTTTCATGGGAAATGCTAAGAAAGGGAGCATTCCTCGGAATGACAGGGAGCCCAGAATTGTCGGTTTTGGCGTTTGGGGGTCTGTCTTAGTGAATGGAGTGGCCCCCATCCTGGACTGGATCTCAGCCCAGGCCTCTAGGATACCTCGATTCCTTTCCAGCTGGAATCCTGACCTTGCATTTCTTCTGAGCCCAAGCTGCTCACCTCTTGCATTTGGAAACTTGGGGTGAGGTAAATGGGAACCGATTACAGCTCCTACCTAATACACACATGTGACACCCGTTATCGATCCTTTCCAACTTGCCTCAACAGGCGCATTTTATGAAATGTTTGGGCTTTCTCTTTTTCTAATTATCTGAGGTCAGTAGCTGCATTGCATTCTAAGGCTCCGGCCTAAACAGACCTGAGAGGTGAAGCTGAGGAGCAGCAAAGGGCCTGGGAGAAGGTGTCCAAGCAACAGGCTCAGACAAAGGTGCAGGCGGGTTACCCCCCACCCCGCTGTGAGATAGGCTGGAGTACCTCTCCCTGGGCTCGGTGTGGTGGGGGCCTCCATGTCCCCAGCTCTCCCACCCAGTCTTGAGGACCCCTGCCCTGCTGTTAACCAAACACGGAGGGGAAGGACCAGGTGGCAGATGCCCCCCAGCTCTGGGACATCACGTCTGGATGTTTCCTCTGGTGCTAGGAGAATCCCACCAGCTGTAGCCCAGGATGGATTCAGAGGCAACTCCATGGGAAGGGGAGGACCCTTCTGATGGGCAGCGAAACCCTACAGAGCAAGGGGCAGGGTGGTAGGTTCGGTCCCTTTCTACTTCCCTCACAACCGACTGTATGTCTTTCACCAAATCATTGTTTGAGCCTCAGTTTTTTCATCTGTAAAACGGGAAGGAAATCATCACCTCTCCTAAATGGTTCCTGTGAGAAGCAAATGCAGTGTATGCAAACGTACTTTGCAAATGGCAGAATTGTGCTTATCACTCTCCAATCCATTCCCTCGTTTTCCTGATGAGGATAAACCCAGGGAGGTGTACCCATAGGAAGGGTCCTACCCATTAAAGAAAAAAAAAAAAAACCAAAGGGTCCTGTTTAAATTTTACAGGAACGAGTTTAAAATGTATTATTCAAAAATCACAACACAAAATATAAAAGAAACTTAAACAAGCTTTCAAATGGTTTTTTGTTTTTGTTTTGCAAGTTGTAACCTTTTACTTCTGACCTTATTGAAGCTTAAAACTTCACTGATACTTCTGGAACACCCTGAGTGACTTTCTTTTCCTTAAATTCATGTGGAACGCGCCCGTCTGCACCAGGCTCTCTCCTACCAACAGCGCCAGAAATGCTCTGGTCCCCTGAAAGAAGCATCTCACCTCTTCCCATATTTGGGACCAGGGTCTTACTCATGAAGCCATTTTTTAATGTTACGAAACGTGACTGCTCTCTTCTCCGATAGTCAGATATCTGCACAGATTGCTCAGGGAGCAGTGGGGCGAGTTTGCTCATAGTAACTAGGAGGGGAAAGCAAGGAACGCACAGGGAAGAAGACTGTCAACCGAGTAGCCCAGAGAGACCCCAAAAGTCATGCTCCTTCTGTCCCTGCCCATGCCACCTCCCACCTGGGGGTCCCAAAAGAAAGTAGTTAGAAATTTGGTCACCACTACCCAAGTGTCCCCCTCCTCTCAAGGAGATAGTGACAAGGAAGGCTCTTTGGCCAACTGTCCAACCCTGTAATTAGCAACATTTGGTCTCTGGATGCACTGGGGCCAGAGGGGCAGGGCCAGACCGCCCCTTGTGCAGTCAACTGACATTTAATGGGCACCTACTATGTGCCAGGCACCATCAGACTCCAGAACCACCAGATGAATAACCAAGGTTATTGTCCTTCAGAAACTAGCAGTGGGGTTCGGACAGAGCTGAGGTTTAAAAAAGTACATTTGTGTGTGTGTGTGTGTGTGTGCATGCACATATATATGTTTATAGTTATAAAGTATAAGAGAAAATCTATAGTCTAAAATGTAATCATGTATAATATATAACAATCTATGAATATGTTATTCTATATCTATTATATAGAAAATACAGGGGGTAGGGAAAAATACAAACTATTTCAGTTATTTTTAGAGGGTTCCCCCAGGTGGAATCAGGGTGGGCTTCCCTGAGGAGGTGCCATGGACCTGGAGTTTGGGTAATAAATGTCACTGTGGTGAGGATGATAATCCAGCAATGATCCCATGAGGAAGGTTTTGTGTTCCCCACTTTTCTGATGAGAAAATCATGTACCCACCCCTTCCTTTCCCTGCATCGCCCCTCTACCTGCCTGGACTTCTGTGTTGTGTCCCTGGTCCCAAGGTCATCCCTGCATATCATGTTCACGTGTTATGGAGTGAATCACGTCCCCCCCCCCCAACTTATATGTTGAAGTCCTAACTGCCAGAGCCTCAGAAGTGGCCTCATTTGGACACAGAGTCTCTGCAGATGTAATTAGTTAGGATGAGATCATACTATTATAGATAGGGCAGACCCCTACTCCGATGGGGCTGGTGTCCTTATAAAAGGAGGGAATTTGGACAGTAACATTTAAACACCCGAATCCCCAGGTCATAGGTGAGAAATGAGAGCTAGCACAAGTCAATGTGGGATGCACCCTGTGTTTATTGAGCAACTATTATGCATCAGGCACCGTGCTAGGTGCATTGATCCCCAGAGCGACCTGGGAGGGGAGTGATATTGCCCCTGTTGTCAGGAGAGGAAACTGAGGCTCAGAAGACACGCAACTTGCTGGGGGTACACAGCAGAGACCCCTGAGCATTCAGGGTCGGCCCCTATTTTTCCACCTGGAAAATTCTCATCCTATTGATGGAGTCCCTGTCCCGTCCCTTGAGGTCTTCCACAGGGTCCTCCTTGGCAGAATCGTCTTCATTCGCTTCCTCTTTTCTCCTCTGGCTCCGTATGGTGCTCGGATCACTCTAAATCACCACCACCACCATCATCATCATTATCATCACAGCAACAACATTAATGATAATAATGCGGCCACAAGTTATCGAGCATTTTCTAAGTGCTTCATATAG